GATGATTTTGATACGCGCCAACTCTTTAGTTTGGTTATGTACAATTATCTGATTAACTAATTACAAGTTTCAACCTTTTCTCATTGTTTTATTTAGTTATATTATGTTTTATTTGATACTACAACTTTATTCAATTTTAAGAACATTAAATCATTCTTAGGGTCCAATAAATTTTAAAGAAAATTAGAATTAATTTTTTTTAATTTGATTTGATTTCATTTCTTGACTTTATAAATAAAAAATATAGAATTTAGTTTTTTTAACCAACTCAAATATATTAAATAAGATAAATAACTCGAATGTTATAATAAAAATTTCAACTAATTTTGAAGCAGAAATATATAAAAAGTCTAAATGTTTCTATGAAAAGTTAAATAAATTTAACAAAATTTGATTAAAAGAATTAAATTTCCGTAGATAAGAGATTAAATTAATTCAAAATTTTGAAGAAATTAATTTTAGTTTTTACTTAAAATTAAGGAATAGAAAATCCTATTTTAAATAACATATAAATTAGTATATATAATTGTTAGTAATATGAATTCTATATTAAATTATCTTTATATTGAATATTTTAATTAAATAATTAAATAATAAAATTAATTTTTTTAATAAATTCTAGAACACTCGTGAGATAAGTTAAAAATTATTAGAGAGGAACTATAGTAGTTAAATTAATATGTAATTCAAATTATCACATGAATTAAATACTCCTCCACTTGTACATGATATGGAATAATATTATATAAATTTATTACAAGCTTCAACTTAACATACAATAACTACAAACATATTTATTTTCACCACATCATGATGATAAATACATAGTTATTCTCCACACAATACATTATTTTTATTCCTTAAATATCACCATCGAGAATCATATTTATTTGTGGCAAGATTACATATTGACCCATATTTATTTTTCAGAAAATACATTATTTTTACTAGACATGAGAAATCAATACAGATCCGTAATAGCTGGGATTTGACGAGCTTTGCACATAACTTCCAATGGGTTTTGCCTTGATATAGTGATTCCCTTTGCTTCAGTCATATCAATTTCTTCCTTACCGATTCGTTGCCACTCAAAACATTGAATCAATGAAGCCAAAGCTAATCCCACAGTACGTTGAGCCAAGTTGTTTCCAGGACAAGACCTCCTCCCTAATCCAAATGAAAGCAAACTGCTTGAGTCACATTCCTTCTCAAACCTTTCAGGCCTAAATTCATATGGGTTTTTCCACAAAGTTGGATCGTGATGAATGGACCATGCATTAACCAACAGAATTGTATTTTTTGGGAGATTATATCCTCCGATGGTACAATCTTCTGAAGACATATGTGGTGACCAAAGTGGTGCAGCAGGATGCAATCTTATCGTCTCGAAAAAGATGTTTAGAACATAAGGAAGTTTTGACATATCTGATTCATCTACCAGACGATCTGATCCCACGTGAGTGTCTAGCTCTTCTTTTGCTCTCTTTAAAACTTCTGGATGGTTCAATAAATTAGCCATTCCCCATTCTAAAGTCAAAGCTGATGTATCTGTTCCTGCAAGTAACATACTCTGCAAAAATAATAACAATAGTTTATTTGAATTATTAGTTTATCGCTTTCAAAAATAAAATAGTGATTTGCATGGACAAAAATAATTACCATGCAAAGTCCTTTGATAATTTGATCGCTGTATTGTTCAGGTTGTGTTCGTTGTTGAACTAAGAGCTGAGATATCATAGTATTGGTAGTCTTATTTGAAGCACGAATTTCGTCAATGAGTGATTGTAAGAATGCATCGATTCTCTTCCCAATGTTCTTTAGTCTCTTTTCCAAATTATCTAAATCAAACCACCTCAAGAAAGGCAAGAAGTCTCCACGGTTATTTACTCCTGCTAACGACACCATCTCTCTAAGGATACCTCTAAATTCTTTGGCCTTCTCCACATCACTCACATCACAGTCATCACCGTAGAATCTCTTTCCCGACACGAGCCTCATCATAGTATTAAGTGATGTTTCCATGACCCTTAGTTAACACATGTCATTTATCCATTAGATGAAGTAATAGAACTAAGATAAATGTGTAACATGATAATAAACTCTTTGGTTAACTGTTGTCACGTCTCAAAACTGCATTAAAAGAATGTTATGTTTTTTATTTCTTACCCTCTTTATTTCAAAATAAAAAGCATTTAATCTGACTTCTGCTTTATGTTGACATCTATATGTAAGATTATTTAACCGGTGTTACGTAAAAAAATATTGCTTTGACGTTATTAAGAACTCACATGGATTTGAGATCGACTTTAGTGAAGTCGTTGCGCGAGAAGCGAGCAAGTTTCTGCAAGAGTTTGGTGAGTTCGTCCCTTCGGATTTCGTAGGAGGCATTCAAACGGTGTGTTGAGACAACCTCGAGGGACAAGATGCGGCGGAGATGGCGCCAATGTTCACCGTAACAGGAGTGAAGGATGGTGCTGTTGTTGTAACTGATGTGTTTGCCAAGGAGAAAGTGGGGTCGGTTAGCCAAGACGGTGTCGTTTTTGGTGAAGCATTCTTGCACCACGGGTAGGTCAGAAGCAACGATAACGAGACGGTTGCCGAACCATAGAGAGAAGACTTTGCCATGTTTTTTGGACAATCGAGTGAAATAACGGTGAAAAGGCTGTTCGAGTTGCAAGAGGTTTCCTACTATAGGGTAAGCAAAAGGCCCTGGAGGAAGGTTTCTGAATTTTCTAGATCCAAACAAGACCTTAAGAGAATAGAGAAAAAGTACTACCACGAAACCATAATATAACAGAGCCATACTGAACTTTTGCTTCTGCTCTGATTGTTGAGTCTCATCTCCCATCCTTGCCTATTTATAAGGCTCCACAAAACATCACCAAAAGAAAAATAAAGAAAATGGAAAGAAGAGTCCATTATGGTAACCCCAAAACTCAAATGATTGTGAGCTGGCCTCAGTTTTTTTTTTTTTTCTCAATTCTTTATACAACATGTGCAAAACGCCTGTTACAACTAATATAAATATAATTTAAAATATTACCAGGTATTTTTTTCTAAAACTAGAAATACCTAGTACTATAATTCAAATTAGGTTTCAATAATTAACATGACAATTTCAAATCTATCTACCAACCTCTACCGTTCTCTCTCTTTAAAATATAAATTTAGATAAATAATTACTTTTAAAGTTTAATTTAAATAATACATAGATTTAATTTTTAGAAAATAAATTTGAATAAGTTGAATCATAAAGTCTGAATTAGAAAAGAAATAGCTGAATCTTAAAAAAAATACTATAAGATGTCGATTGGTAGCGATTTTTTTCTTTTCATCCCTTCAAACCAGATCCGTTGAAGATCATATCTGAACTCACATGAAAGACACGTTCTGGTTGGTTTGTTTTTTACGACCTAAACATGGGGGAGTCAAAACATATATGCCTACAAAGCATAATTTATCCTCTCATAAATTAGATTATATATAAATTAATTTTATTAGTTGATATAGAAATTAATTCTAATTTATTTAATTTTAAAATAAGAAGGAAAAAGAAATTTCCAAATAGAAGGGGTGGTTTTCCGAGATAAATACGATATTAAATAAAGGTGACAGCAAATATGTGAATGGAAGTTTACTCCATGTGGTGCATGCATGAGTGAGATTCTTCTCCTTGTTCCCCAACCAAAGCAATAGCAAACAAAACTATTGAACGTAAGTTATAATTGTTGGAAGTTCCACATTTACTATAGATAAGATCAAATTATAATATATAAATGGAGAGCAATATTTACATTGGGTTATATATATATATATATATATATATCCATTCTATTGTTGACAATGAAATTTTAATCACAAGAAATATAATGTCGAATTGGTGTTGATCGTCTCATGTTGATATAAATTAAAAAACAAAATAAGACTAATTTAGTTGTAAAGGAGTAAATATATAATTTAGTACGGTCTTTATTCAAACAGGTTGTTTTGTTCAATTTTATAATTTTTAATTATGATTTAAAATAATGTAGTTGGTACGAGTATATATATTATATAATTAAGACTCTAAAAGTAAATTTTTGAAATATTTTAAAATATAGAGACTAATTAATTATTTTAGGTCATAAAAGTGAGTAAATAATTTAATTATTTGAACAATTTATAAAATTTTCCGAAGAACACATTCTAGTAAAAAAGACATATTTTCAATATGTAGGTACAAGTTATACGATTAAAAAGTTTTGAGTGAAATCAATAAATCGAGGAATTCAATTCGATTAGAATTTGCAATGGAAAACTGATGATTGAGGTATTTGTTTCGATATGATGGTTTTGGTTAGATCATTATTCTTGAAGGAGAAAAACATATTATTATAAGTACAAAGTAAAAAATTATATTTGAGATTAATTTTTCTTGGATTAAATATATATTTAGGATACTCTATTTATAATAAAGAAAATATAAACTAAGTTTAAAATATAAATAATAAATACTAAAAAACTAAAGATAATAGATAAACATAAGATATTTATATAAGATAGGGGTATAAAAATCATATGTACCAATCAAACTTGTTACACATATAATAAATTCTCAATCTATGTAGACTAAATGAAAATATATGTTAAATGATCACTTGAATTAACGAATTTAGTCTTGATATCTCAAGATTTCTCTCAAATGACATGATAATCAATCTCAATATGCTTGGTCCTCTCATGAAAGACTTTATTAGAACTAATATGAAGAACAACTTGATTGTCACATCCACTACAAGAGAAAAGGTACTACCAAGACTTAAAATATGTTGGACACGTCAAAAATTTGTTGGTAATGACTTTTTTCAAACAGATTACCGACGAACCTAAATTTGTCGATAATAATACAATTGGTAATATTTACTGACAAAATCTTAAATTTGTTAGTAATTACTGACAAAAAATCTGACAATAAATACAGAAAAAATTCATCAATAATTATCGATAAATAAATACAGGAAAATATGTCGGTAATTAATGACAGAAAAAATTCGTAGGTAAGATCCATCAGTAAATTTCGCGTTTTGGTTCATCTTCTTCCTCCTCTTTCTTCCTTCTTTTTTCTTTTAGGGTTTTAGCTTTTTTAGTAGTGAAGCACACCATAATAGCATTGACGAACCTGGAAAAAACTAGAAACTAAATCTCGAACATCAAAACCCTATCTCGCGCTACCTTATTTTGCTATGCCATTGTTCATTCTAGGAGCTCCAAGAACCACTACTGAACCGCGAGCCAACGCAACCATGGCTTCCTCTACATTGACCACCATGCCAACAATGCCAGAAAAAATAAATCATACAACATCACACCTGCAACTCCTTCATTGTGCTTCCAACCAAAACCACTACAGATCGTGAATTCATCCTTACACTACCACCATAATCTTCATCACCATCAAACCACCATTATTCTCCATGGTGAACCCTAACTGTGAGTAACACCACTAGATCTCCTTCACAGGATGAACCACCGTGTCTCGTCATGCAAGAAACAAAAGTTATACACCTTCAACACAGACCACCGTGAGAGATCTCTATGAATTTAGGAAACTTTCTTTTACTTATGCACCTACCATGTTATTTGAGCGAGAAAATTGTCACTCATTTTACAGAAAAATTTATCGATAATTTTTTCATCGATAAATAAAATATGAATTATTGGCGGATTTAATGAAGAAAAATTCGTTAGTAAATAAAATATGAATTATTAAAGGATTTATCAACAAAAAAATTCGTCGATAAATAAAATATGAATTATCAACAAATTTACCAACTGATTAATCAGTCGGTAATGAATTCGTTGGTAATTAAAATTCAAGAATTTGTTTATAAAATCTATTGATAATTTTTAAATTTACCGGTGAATATAAATCCGATGGTAAAACACACTAAATTTATCTTAAATTTGCATCATGCTTCCTCTAATGGACACCCAACACAGACTGTATTGGTTGAGACTTGTCCAGATTTTGTGGTAGAGACTAACAACTCATCCCAGATTAATCGCAAGTAACCTAAGTTTCTCCAAACAGACAAGAGAAATCAAAAGAATGTATTCACCCGAATCAAACAAAACACTCACACATTTACCATTTAAAAGTAGCAAGTGTCCAAGATCAAGTTTCCTGGTTCAGATGCTTCGGCTCCTATCATAGAAAAAAGTCGCCCTGCTACTTTCGGCTTTCCTCTATAGGGCTTCTGAGTCTGAGAGCCATTCCCTAAATATTTCCTCTCTAGGCATGCAAAAGCAAGATGTTCAGGCTTTTAACAAACAAAGCATTTTCTCTACTCAATTTTCACATTAATCAACTTCGAGCAATATCTCCTAGTGTGAGGACCCCTACCTTCATAGGATTTCAAACCTCCCGAATGTCCCTGTTGTGATCTAGAATGTGTCTTGTTCTTATTTCTGTCCAAAGACGAATCACCCTCTAAGTCCTAATCACTGGCCCTACCTTTCCCTCAATCTGCTCTGCCACTAAAGCTTGTTCTACTATCTCTAGAAACTCTTTAATCTTCAAATGATTGAGTGCCTTCAGCATATTATTATGCAAACCTCTCTCAATTTTTCTGCACTTCCATTCCTCACTCACATTCTGAGTATAAAATCGAGCAAAATACTCAAACCACTCCTTATAAGCCTGCACAGATAAGCTTCCCTATTACAAATTCATAATTCTGCCTCTTGCTCCAATTTAGCATTAACCGGAAAATATCTCTCTAAAAATCTTGCTCTGAAGTGATCCCAACTAATGGCCTTTCTACTAGCATCCATCTCTAACTGCATACCTCTCCATCAATACTCAGCCTCCCCAACTAACATGTAAGTAGCAAAAACCAGCTTTTACTCCTTAAAACATTCAATCACATTGAAGATCTTTTCATTACTACAAATCTAGTCATCGACTTCATCTGGAATGGCTTTTCTATTGAACTTGGTAGGATTGTGGCGTAAGTAATCGTTCATTCCCACTCGATGTTTGGGTACATGTTTAGCTTGTCGAGCCTATAACGCCTATCATCCTTATAAGACCTATGTTATTTGTCGAAGAGCTTGTGCTAGTTCGGTAGTAGCATCGATAGGAGTAGGGGTTCTTCCTCGATGAGACATCTTTATTTATTTATAACATGAACAATTATGCACAATAATAATGCACAGACAATATCACTAAATTAAACATGTAAATATTTCACACATTAATTCCCAAGAACACATAATTCACACAATTATACTCATATGTGTGCAACTCACATAGTTATACACATATGCATGCAATTCACACAATCACGCAACAAAAACTAGGCGAAATCACTTCTCAAAAGCCCCAAAAGATTTTTCGGAAACCCGACTCTAATACCAAAGTGTAACACCCCAACTCTTGAGATGTCCCGAGTTATTGCAAAACTGGTAAAAATTCAAAATTTATCATAGTGGGAACGTACTTTTAAAAAATCTTGACTTTTAAATGTTCATAATTTATTCAAAACATAATCGTTTCAAAACATAATTTAAACATACCTTGTTGTTAGATGAATTTATCACTCGTCTAATCTAACTAGCTTAAGATTGAGTGGAAACTGATCTTAACTTGTGGTACAATCAATTTTCGTAATGGCTTCTAGATGTTAGGAATAGATTTGGGTGTCTGCTAAAAATAAAGTCTTAACCTTAATGCAGATGAGTTGTTGTGCAGTCCGTAACAGGTTTAAAATTGGACATTACATAATAAACTAGGCTCTACGCTAGGTGTCAAAAATGGACCTAGAGTTTCAATCAAACAGAACTCCTAGTACTTGATCATCTGAAGCTTCATGCTTAAGGGTGGATTTGG